TTAAACAAGCTCATGTAGAAGCATCAGGTTCTATTCAGAAACAGAAAAAAATCTTTTTCAAGTCTCTTGTTAAAGAGGTATCAACAATTTCTGAAATTTATAACAGGGTGGGTAATGCTCTCAAATGTCAGTCAATGTTTAAACGTAATTTTAGTTGTTGGGAAAGTTTTTTATGGAATTATAAAGAATTGGCAAAATTCAAGGTGGATTTAAAAAAAGTTGATCGTTTGTATCATATTTATCAGCATCAAAATAATGATATTGATGGAGACGGTTATTATGAGCTATTGGTTAGAATGAAATATAAGAATAAATATATTTTTGTTGAGATGATAGCTAGTTTAAATAATAAAGATATTTTTGATTTTGAAAATGGAAGAGTAAGAAAAGGAGAGGATGAAATTATAGAAAGGGGTAATATAAATATTACCTACTATCCCATTAATATTATTTCCAGTAATAGTATTTTGAATAGAATGATACATTTTAATTTTAATATTGATTTTTTAATTAGTTCACTAAGAGAAGATGGTTATAAAATTGATAATAGCAATGTTTTGAATATTGTGATGATAATGGAAAATATTAAAGTTTCATGTTGATTTTAACATCAATTTAAAATTTAAAAATGTTTGATTTTAACATTAATTTAAAATTTACAAAATGTAAGTTTATAAGACTTCTTAGAGATAGAGATCTAAGAGATCTATAATTGTTTGTATGTAATTCTCCGACTAAAATAAATTTTGGAAAATCTTCAGTTTCCAAATTAGTAGTTTCATTTTTAATGCATAATAATTTACCATAATTTTTATTTTTCTCTCGATAATTACACAATCTAAAAATTTTTATTTTTTTTCTTCTCCTTATTCTTCTATAAAATAAATGTATTTTATAACTAAAACACCAATTAATACATTTAAAAACAATTATGGGAAAATTGATTAGATTTTTTATCTCTTCTAGTGTTTCTGAGGAACAAATTGAAGAAAAAATTATTAAAAAATCGTGTTGTTTTTCATAATTTTTTAAAGAGTTATAATGATTGATTACAGTTACATTATTTTTGAATAAATGTAACAATGAATTTTTTAACAATATATCTAAATTATCTTCAGATAAAATAATTAAAAACTTTTTATTAATATGAGTATTAAAAATTAATAATAATATCTCAAATATATCAAAAATGATTTCTTTACTTTGAAATTCAACAATAATAATTCTGTCATTATTATAATAGAGATGATTTACCACTCGTGCTCGTTCACAATGTCATTAACGAAAACCCTTAATTATTGGATTTATTCGATTTTCCCAAATGAAAAGAGTAGAATGAATCTTAATGAGATTATAATGTAAATCATCTTTGTAAGTTAATAAACTTATGTGGTTATAGTAACAATTCAAAAGCATCAAAGATAAGCCGTAAAAAAAATCAATAATATCTATTAATGGATAAAAATTTGGTATTTTTAATAATAAATATAATAAATACAGGCTTTCACTTATTTGCTCAGATAGTATTATCATAAATATTATAAGAAGATGCCAATCATTATTATTGTAGAACAATTGATGATATACCAAAAATTCAGTGGCATGTTCGTAGCTTGGATGAGAGTGCAATTCGATTAAATCAGTTTGAAAATTATAGGTTTTATATATTTTATTTTTATATTCAATAATTTGTAATAAAAATTGCGATATATAGTTATCTTTGTTTTTGTTTTTTCGAGAAAATGGTCGTAAAATATCAATAGCACTATTATTATTACCAAAGGGACTTTTAAATTTTGAATAAGGTTCTTTACAATATCTGTGATATAATTGACGAAGTGGCATATAATGTTGATCAACAATTACATTTCTCCATTGCTTACATACTGGAGCACAACAGTTTAATAAGTCTTGATAAGGAATTTGAGCAAAAATTTCTTCGAGTAATTTTAATGTTACCATATTTTATAGTCTAGTAACTAGTAATAATAGTTTATATTCTTTTCATATATTTTTATTTTAACATCCAGGAGAGAGAGGGTTGGTTATTAACTATACCCAAAATGGTTTAAATGTTTCTACTAATTGGAAATTGTAATGCTTTTAGTGATGTAAATATAAAAATGAAAAAATTATAATAAAAAATTTTCTGTGATAAAATATTTTTTGTCAATCATGTAAATCTTTTCTGTAATAAAATAATATTTTATCAGATCATAGTTTTAAAATTATTCTTAAAATTATATTCTACGATGGTAAAATATTTTGTGAGATAAAAATAAGCAACTAGTTGAAGACCAGAAGAGTATTTAAGAAGCATCATACATTATATAATTTTAGAAACCTTTCTCCCTTGAGCCAGAAATGGGTAACTTGTGTTAGAACTACGATCTTGACGAACTACAGTCTCGGTAAATATTATTGACAGAACTACATAACTCTAGGTAACACTAATTTCAAGTAAAATTTTATTATACTACTAACAAAAAAATTCATCGTGTGTGATATCAATGATCTTTTATTTAATTTGTGTTAACAAATATTAATTATATAAAAAAATTTTTGTTACAGAAAAGAAGTTCTAGCCATACTCCTCCTCTGAATAAAAGAAAAATGATAAATTCAAGTTTCCCAATCTGCATCTAATGTGTGTAATCGTTCATCTTCCTCAAATACTTTTGAAGTAAATGTTTCTGACACCATTTACATAGTTTTTCTACAAGTTAAGTGGTTTTAAAACCCAAATGTAACTAACATTTATATGATTCCTCAAAGCATAATGTACGAGTAAAAACTCATATGACAAGATAATTACGAAATGAATTTTTACACACAGTATGAATTTTAAATGTGTCGTAAATTAAGAATTACTGCACAATAGTTTTTTATTACATATTTTTAACATTTGTACACAGTATACTCTTGTTATAATGTGAGTTTTGATAGATTTTGAAAGTTGGGGCAGTTATTGAATATAAAATTAAACTATCATCTTATTTAGAGGGGTAAGTGACGTTTGAATAGAATTTGTTTCTCTAAATACTGTGGCTCACGTACTCTTGATTGGCAGTTAACCCTCCTAATTAAATTTTCTTGTATTCAGATTATGTGTAGATAGATAAAATGATACCATTATAAAAAATTTGTGAAGTTAAACCATATTGGAATCCAAAGTGTATTTGGAACAGATGATGTCATCATATATGTTTCTAAACACTTAACAGACGAAATGAATTCCTTAGTAACCGTCCTGATTGATTAATTTTCGTTCTGTAATAAGAGAAAGTAATAAAAATTTTCAATTACTATATAAAAACTTTTATATCATAAGTTAAAATATTTACACAAACAAGAAATATATATCAAAAAAAAAACTAAGAATGTACCATAAATACTTGAATACAATTGTGACTATGTTGATGATATTATTGTCTGTATCGCCTACATCGGATAATGAAAAAAAAGTGTATCTTTTTGTATCCAAGAGATCTTTTAAAAAGAATAACAATATTTTATTTCCACTTCCTATAATTATACAAGTTGAAGATCATAATCAAAAACCTTGGAAAGCTATTGGGAGGTGGTGACTAAAGAAAACACTTCAATAGTGTGTATTGAAATAAATGGTAATAAAACTGATACTACAATTCGCTATAAAATTTCAAATTGTAATGACAGTAATGAGTGGCAACATCGAATTTTCTATCCTGAATTCAATCCTGGTAGAGGATTGTGGAATAATATTTATTCTATCTTTTTAAATGTTGCCGACAATGATTTGAGTAATCGATCTTAACTATAATAAAAATTATACTATTAATTACCATTTTAACATAACTAATCAAAGTTTAGATAAAAAACAACAACAACAAGAGTCTTTAATTGAATGGAGTATTAAAATATTTAATATTACAATAGAAGGACAAAAATTCGTTTTTAGATGTTAAAAAAATACAATTATATTAAAAACAATCAATGTTAGGAATTAAAACATGTTCTGATAACAAAAACTGGACGTATCTAAGTCTCCAAACTTCAGATACAATAATTCTAGCCCATACACAAAGAATAGAAAATGCCAAAATCGAAGTTAAAGTGGTTTTTTTCAAAATGTTTCCCTGAATACTTAAAAGGAATACACACTTTAAATTCGATAGAGTATCCTACTTCTATATTAAAAGTGAATTACAAAAGAAGTAATCATTACCATACTCTAAGTGTAACTTTAGATTATGATGATAATTATCATCCATACACACTAATATCTTTAACTGTTGAACATAAAGGTTTTGATTGTACTGGGCAATGGTTCCTATTAGGTATTAAAGGAGCAGAAGTATTTCCAAACTGTAATAATAACAATAACAATAATAATAATACTTTTTCTACTGCTGCTGCTACTACTACTTCTGCTGCTACTACTACTACTTCTGCTGCTGCTGCTACTACTGTTTCTGTTACTAATGAAGATATACAATTTTCATCTTTATCTAACTCTATAAATAAATTAACAGAAAATGAAAAAATTCAATGTTTTATAAAAATTTTTATAGCTTATCTTGTAAATTTGCTTATTAAAAAACAATAATAATTTATGAAACAACAAAAAAAAAATAGTATTATGTTTTTCATTTTTAGTAGTATAAGATGAAGAGAGAAAGTGAGACTATTTAAATACCTCTCTAATTTATGATGAGAAATCAGTATACTCCTGAATTTCTTAGAGAAAGAAAGTGTTTTTAAAGTTGGACAGCTTGGTATGTACTATATATATACTGAAATATATCACTTAATAATTACTGAATATTTAATCTTATTTACTGGGAAAGAGTTATTAACTATATATGTATTTCTTTTTCAGACACTATTGAAGAAGAGTTCCTCCAAATGGATAAAAATGGAAACTGATAATATAACAGGAATGATTTGCAAAGTTTTGCCATATAATAGACATATTTCCTATATTAGAATCAATTAGAGAAAAAGAAATAAATAGACTAAAAGATTCTTATTTTGATAAATGGTTCAAAAAAGTAGAAGAAAATACTATTTTGATTTGTATTGCTAAATTAATTACTAAATATTGGTCACAGAAAATGAGAAAGTATGCTGAAAAATTGATATTGAAGAAAGCCATTAATGAAAAGTATTTGGATATTCAAGATATCAATTTTGTAACAATCCTAGATGATAACAATGACAATGATAATGATTGGGTGATTGAAGATAAGGATGATATTATAATTGATCTTATTTGGAATATATTTGATATGAAATCATATTTTGATTCAGTAGAAAAACATCGCTTATGGGTTAAAATGACATATGAGAAACTGAAAATTTTTATGCCTTTTCTCACTCCTGAAATCATTGAAAGACATGATTTAACTAAATTTGCATTCAGTCAGGCTGTTGGTTACACACTGAAATTTGTGCATAACATTGATCATACTATTGTTAATAAGGCTAATGAATTTCATTTGTTTAATGAACCTCATCATTATCAGACATGGCTGACAAAGAAATTTACACCAGAAGAAAAACGTAAGAAATTGGATCTTTGGTTGAAATGTGATACAGCCACTAGTGATAATTATCCTTATGGTATAAATTTAAATGATCATGATTTTACTTCAGAAAATTTGATTGAAGTTTTTTTATTTGAAAGTATTGTAGAAATGGTGGCTGTTAGATGGCAAACAAATCCAAAATTAGATATCACCATTACTGAACTTATTACAGTAATTGAAGATAGAACACTATGTGGATATACTTCATCTCAAAAAAAAATCTTAAGATTTTATAAAAAAAAGTAAGAGAGTTGATCTGAAAAAAACAAAAAGAAAGTCTGACAAAAAAAAAAT